CTGGGCGGGGAGCGGAGTCGGGGGGGTTGAAGCAGGTGGGTAAGGCTGGGATCACGGGGCAGGGTTGTGGGACGGTGACAGCATGCTGTGATCTGCTGCCTGCATGTCCCTGCCCTGTGGGGGATGTATGAGGGGTGTGGGGGGGCTGCCTGGGTGCTAGGTCCTGGGAGCTGGATGGGGGAGAAAAGAGGGGGAGCATACAGCTGAGCTCATCTGGGTGCTGTGGTCCATGCCTGCCCCTGTGGCACTCCACATGGGGTGGAGCCCTACCCAGGGCAGCCCGCGCCATATTCCTGCCCATGCTTGCTGGCCTGGATCCAGCCAGAGCACACAGTTTACTGGAAGGGCTGCTCCTGGTGTATCTGCAGCTGCCTGGGTGCTGTTCAGCTCCTCTCCCTCCAGCTGTGGCTCATCCTGCCATATTGCGCCCACCCCTGGTCTAAATAGTTCATAAAGACAGTAGTCTGTGTTTATTTGCTATATAGCAATTTAGCAGTTTGATTATGATAGATGTTGATTTACATACTGGTAAGGTGGTAAAGGGCTTTATTTTGTTCTGCCCTTAAACTTCTATATTCTTAGATAAGAAAACATACTTACTTGTTTTGGGTAAACAAAACTTCTAAGGATACAATTTAATTCCCATATGTCATTTATGAGAGGACACATTGGCAAGAGCATCAACAAATTTGGTAAAAGAGTCAACAGATTTGCTTCACTCTTTAAAGGTCTCTGCATGCAATTTGTCTTATCTTTTTAGTGTAGCAATCCATTTGATTTAATGGCATGCTAAAAATTGCAGAGGCAGTGAAGGCTTGCTACCGTGTTATTCACAGGGGGAGGGAGCTTTGCAATTTAGGCATCAGGCCTATGCTCCAAAGCAGAATGACATCCAAAACACTGGCAGCTGTGTATGGCTTCTGAGGAAAGGGAACACTGGGACGGGACCCTTGGGAGAGGAGCAAGCAGTCTGTTCTTCCCCAGAGAAAGGTATCTGTGAAGTTATCACCTAATTGCTGGAAAGGCTTCTTTGTTTTTATGAGCTAGCTGAGTGCTAAGCAGAAACCAAACTGGTATAAATCCCACTCACTCGAGATACAAGCATGGGAAATATTTATACACCAAACATTTGTTTGTCCACATCAGGCACAAAATATGCATGATGGGACATGTTTGTGTTTGCAGTTTCCCTCTGCAAATCACATCACATTGGCACTAGGTACTTGAAAGGAGTTAGGCCCTTGGCTTGGTGTAGCTTTGTCACAGGGTCATAACTGATATCAATGTGTGTTGACTCAGCCGTCTACTGCCCCTCCCCTCTGACTGCTGTATCTTGTGGAGCGTAACAGTGAGCAGAGATACTCTTCCCTCTGGGCACAGAAGACAGTGAAAACCATACTATAGACAGCAATTGCTGCAGTCATGAACTCTACTGATGTTCAGGACACGAAGGTGGCCATCGTTGGCGGGGGTTTGGTAAGAAATGCACCCTTGTCTCAGTTATGGTTGTATTCTTTTTCCTGGCCATGCGGGGTGAAGGTGTGGTGCTTTTCATACAAACAGTCTTATTTTTACCAAGGAATAAAAACAGGAAGAGGTGTAACAGAAGCAGCTTTGTTTTGGTTGTACATATCGTCAATTTTGGCTTGCCCTTAAATGTGCCGATCATTATAGAAATCAGCTGATAAAACTGGACTCAACCACAGAAAGCAAATGCACCGTAGACCAGGGAAGTGACTGCTGGGGAGACTATCTAGGCTTATGAATTGCAGCCAAGTTCCCTTGCCTGCTTTATCTTACTCCTTTGCATGGTATTTGCTTGTTTGTGGCCAGCAATTTGATTTGTAAATCAAGATGATAAGAGCTTAACTAGTGAGTTTAAATTTCAATCCTACTTTTTAACTGGCTTTATGTTGCCTGCCTTTTTAGAAGCCTGTGGACAAATATGGGTTTAGCTGAGTTAGGAATGGGGAAGGAAGTAAAATTGTTTGTGCAGCCAGGACTTTGTACCAACAGCATTACTGTTTTTTGTAGGAAACTGGTGTTACGGATAGTAGTAGGCTTGGAGTGCTGTTATAGGCATGATAGTCCCAGAAATATGTGAGAAGGAAGAGCTTTTTGGTGATCTCTTCCATTAGCCCAACTGCAGAGTTAGGAGAGATGTTAGACAAGCCTTCACAAAATGCCCTTCTTCAGGTCTGGGGAAGAAGGAAATGCAGCTTAAGCTAAATACCAGATTGCCATCTTTGTTAAGGGTAGACAGAAAACAAAGATAGACATCAGGCAAAGGTATGGTATATATGCTACATATGGTATATACTTGCCTTTGCATTTTTAGGCAAACTTGTACACTGTGTAGCTTCTCTAGAGTCAATTCAAAAGAGAAGTCTATAACACCCAATTTCCCTCCAGGTAGATAAAAAGAGTTTTCACAATGGATGCAAAATCTTTCCAGTCCTGGTGTATACACAAGGGTCAGTGTTAGTGTAGGTACTTCTGCTGCTGAGTCAAGGCTCTTCCTGAGCCATGGACAGGCACTAAACTTTGTTGTGATTTAATCTGAGGACTTTGAAAATGAGGCTTCTTACTCTGCATATGCAGAGTAAGAGAAGAGAAGTGGTTAGCCATGTTAGTCCAAAATCAGGCAAAAGACAGGGTAGGGTGGCACCCTAGAGGCTATCATGCCCTACATTCTGCCTAAAAGAGATCTCCCAGACGCTTTGTCAAGGTGGGTTCTTTTCCCTGATGATCTGTGTATCAAATGATTGTCCCCTTTTGCTTGAGAAGGACCTGTATTTTAGTGGCGCTGTGTGCTTAAAATTAACTATCCAACCTAAATTGTTCTCTAACTGTAGAATACCTTGGTGACTCTTTTGTAGGTGGGTGCTTTAAATGCCTGTTTCTTTGCAAGAAGAGGGTTCCAAGTTGATGTTTTTGAAGCAAGAGAAGGTAAACCCAGATTGACTATATTTATAGTATTACTATGCTCATCACTTCATTTCCATCACAGCCAGAGAAGTGTTAAAAAAAGGAACCGCAGACTGGAACTGAAACACACACTGTGGGCCTGTCTGAAAAAAAAAAAAAAAGAACATTTTCACTCTGAACTTTCCTGCCTAAAATGACATTGTTAGAATTTACATGTGCACATAATACTGTGATCCATGTCATAAAAGATTAATCACCAAATTAGAAACATGTGGTTCGATGTAATGCTGTGGAATATTCACTGACTTTCTGTATCTGCAAAAACTGAGCATGTAGCAAGGTTAGAGAACCCAATACAACATCATCTGTGCCAGGTGGATGACCACGATGATACTGAGAGAAGTTACTGCACACACACAAAAAATTGCACGTTTAACTTTTAAAGGAAACAGGCCCTCTTTTATCAAAGAGTTTGATTTTAGCTTAAGTTATTTAGTGGCAAAGGTAACCAGTGAATAAGCTTCATAGTTGGAAAGCATTAGAGAAAATTGGATGTACTTAAGTTAGTGAATGAATTCCCATTGTTGCCAAGGCATTTTCCCAAGTGTAATATACCCAAGTGTAATATTCCCAAGTATAAATACCTACTTGCAGATATATTTACACTTCCAAGATGTACTTGTACAAGTTCCTGAGGCTCACACGGGCAAAGTGCATGGGAAGAGACTAATGAATAATACAGGAGTAGGGATAAAATCTTGTTCTCTAATATTCATGGCAATACTACATCACCTAGTGATACAATTTAATTTCTGCTTCAATAAACAGAGCATTAGCATTTAGCCGCTTAGAGCATGTGAAATATAGTCATATAATTTATGAGACCATTTATGCAGAGCTCTCTGGACAAACATAACCAGTCAGATGGCACTGGATCTGAGCTTCAGCCTGGGACCAAACATGAAGGATGGTGACAAATGTTTTACCAACACCTAATCCAATAGAACACCTGTGCTCACCTTGCTAGAGCAGTAAATAAAGCTGGTTCACCTCCCAGGACTTCAGGGAGTTGGTTTGCTCTGACACAGCAGGTTGTCCAATTACAAGGCTAAGGGTGCTAATGTGTTGGTAAAGGATACCCCTCTTAATGAGTCATACCATTAATTGGTGCCAAACTGCCCCTACCTTCCCTCAGTGCCTGAGACGGTCACTGTGGTTCACTGAGAGACTTGGGTGGAAAACTGAAACGCGAATAGCCCCAAAGTCATTCCAAATCTAGCCCCCAACAGTACAAAGTCTATGATAAGTTCTACCCTCAACCTTGGCTGTTCTGCCTAGCGGTCTGGTCGATAGTACAGACTGCAAAGTCCTGTTATTGGCTCAAGATCTAACTGCTGCATTGAGCTCCAAGGGCTTTGCTGGAGGTCAATTAAATACAAGTGCAACCCAATACAGTAGCAAATGCTGAGGTTAGCTTGCTATTCGCTCCAATGCCCATGACAGTTTAGTCCCGTCACACCCAGTGAAATGCATCAGGCCTGAGCAATTTATGTAGACGATTGTCAGGGTGGCTGGAGAAACAAATGTACTCAGAAAAGTGGTGCAGTGTAAGAGTTCCTGGCATAGCGTGAACTATAAAATAGGAACTGCCTGCTAATTCTGTGCAAAACGTTAATTTGCTGAATGCAAACAATGAGAAACTCTCTCCTGGCTTGGGGTAATTTTGAGAGGAATGACCCATAACTCACTCCGTGATTCTGCGTAATTAACACAGCCTACCATTTCCTGTGCAACACTCAGCTGCAGCTGCTTCTCTGAGCCTGAAGAAACCCAATGAGGAAGTGTCTCTAAAATCTTCTGTTGTTTGTTGCCTTATTTGTGCTCTTCAGTCAGCCCTCAGAAGAGCTAGACAGGCTTCTAGCAGCTTGATTTCTTTGCTACGCTGGTAGAGGGGCAGATGTGGTTCCTTCCCTGTGGCCTACACTAGCAAAATATGGCCTTCAGCACTACCTGTGCTCCATGGCTTCTATTCCACTTCATGGTGGAACAGAAAACACATAACACCAGCAGACTCTCCCTGTGCCTGAGGAAGGGTGTTTGTGCTCGCAAGCTTGCAAAGAACAATTTTTTCCAACTATTTAGTTTGTCTAATAAAAAATATCACATTTACCCAAAGAACCTTGTCTGTACTGTAAGAGAGAGCTCTTTTTTTCATAAATGATGTAATGGCCTGAAATTACTCATCTGTGTAGAGGTCTGTGGAAGGAATGTGCTTCAGCTTCTGTAAGAGAAGACAACTCAGAAAAGGGTGATTAATGTGGCCAGCAATTAATGGTTCTAATAGATCCAAACCAGTAAGTGGATCTAGTAATGTTTGGGTGGTGTCTAGGAGGGGTCTTTGATACCTCTCTTAGATGCAAAGCACATGGAAGTAATAAAGAAATATTAATGATCTGTGAGATTACAGAAACAACTACAGTACATGCACTAGGCAAAGCTGATCTGCACTGTGACCCCAAATCTTGGCATTACCTCCTATAGCACTCCAGGGACTGCTAGTCTGTCTGTCCTCCAGAGAGGTACTATCCGCTGCCATCCAGTGTTACAGGTCTGGTGGACGAGCCTGTGTTTCTTCAATAGGAGAATCAAGGTTTTGTAAAGCAGGGAGTTGAGCTCCAAGCCACGCTCAGTAGCCTGCCTTTGGGAGCACTTGGAAATTGAGCCTGAATAGGGGCTCAAGGCTGGGTCCACATGTACTGAAGGAAAACTTTCAAGCACTAAGAGCTTGCCACAAAGCCTACTGAAATCCCTAGGAGTCTTTTCTTTGCCTTAAGTCAGGGCCATAGGGTCCAATTCATCCATCCTTATTAATGGCAAGTAGTTGAGTCTCTCCCCCCATGAGACTAGTCATGGACTGAGGCTGTACTCAGAGAGCAAAAAGGTAGCAGTTGCTCCCCTACTGAAATGCATCCCATTGATCTGTGTTGGGGCAGGGTGAAGAAAAGTGCTCCTTAATAACTTGGAGGGCTAAAATACAGTCTTGGCAAATGTCCTGGGTCTCCTGTGGGGGCAAAGGCCCTCAGCTCACATGCAGAATTACAGGCAGGGCAGCGCTAGAGCTAACCCCCGCAGCTGGTTTTAGTGGGGAGCGCTCAAGCTGTGGCAGAAACCTGAGCTTGGTTTTCTCACTTCTGTGCAGCTAAAATGGTCTGTCTCGGTGCTGCTGAAAGCTGTGTTTTGAATCTGACATCTAGAGTATGTTCCACATGCACAGCCATTGGCTCTTGTGCATGAGCCATCAGTGCCGCAGTAACAAACCAGTCTCTATCTTGTTGCAGATATTCGAGTTGCCAAAGTCACCCGTGGCAGAAGCATTAATTTGGCACTGTCTCACAGGGGACGCCAGGCCCTCAAAGCCATTGGAATGGAAGAGCAGGTAGCCACCCTTTCTTTTTAAGCCTGATGGCCTTTCCAGTTAAGTGCTGGTGTATAATGTTGATTGCTCGTTGACTAGAAACAGCAAGAAGCAACAGAAGTCCCAAGGGGAAGCCATAGCTGTCATCCCTAGACTGTCTCCATGAGATGTGAGAGATCACTGCAAAAGCAGGGGTAACATCTCCTTTTACGGCATGCCAGGAGCTGACACCTTCCTCTGCTGCCTGGCACTGGAACCAAGGCACAGAAACACCAGCAAGGGCTACACTAATATTATGCAGTTAGGACTCTGCTGGGTTTTTGTCAGATCAGGAGATCTACAGATACACTGTGCTTGTTTTGGAAAACCATCAGACAGCTATATGGGAGGCAGAGCTGCTCCTCATGACATTGCTTTTCCTTATTTTCATTCCTTTCTCCCTTCCAGAAGGAGTAAGGGCAGGAGTGATAGAAGTCAGTAGAAGTGAGCCAGGAGACTAGAGTGGCATCCAGAAGTCATACAGGAAGACTGACTTCTATGTCTAGGCCCCAGACATCCAGCTTGAGATCTGGATTCTCCCATAAATGCTCAAGTTTAAGGTGTTCTTTAAAGAGACACAATTAGCTGTGGTAGGCTTAAGTCAGGTAGAAGGTACGGGAGATTTGCACCTTACAGGCTAACCAAAGTCTGTCTGTCTGTCTATATATAACACAAGGTTTTTGTGGGCTGAAGCTCACAGAGTCAGCTTACAAAAGCTTGGCTGTATATATAATTTCAACTGTAGTTAGTCTATAAGGTGCATATCTACCCTGCCTTCTGCCTGCTTTAAAGTCTAGTGAAGGTACACTTCTACAGTAAAGGTAGATGCTACAGGAGACTTTGGCTCAGGGCATGGACTTGCAAAAAACTCTCAGCCCCTGGCCTGACTCCAAGCCCAGCCCCACTTGAAGGCTGGCTATGGTCTAAACTCCAGACATTCAGGCTTATAGAATCACAAAGACAAATGATTGACAAGAACTGAAAAACAGGACTTTCTGCTGTCCATTCCTCATTCAGAAACAGACAGGGGACAAAATGTTTAAAAACTGGATGCTCTGGTATAAAGCAGGGCCAATGGTCACCCTAGTGAAATGTGGTGGTTTTACGTCTGCAACTGTAAATGTTTCCTTAGTAACTCACTAAAGGACAAACTAGTTTCAGAGTGCAAAACCTCACATGTTGCCTGAAGCCAGATAACATATCTCCTGAGCAATCTGTTCCATTGCATTCAATGGGCCTGTTAATGGGAGTTTGAGACACTTAAAACTGTTTTCCTTCTGATTGCAGATTGTGTCCAAAGGCATTCCCATGTTTGCAAGGAGGATACACACACCTTCTGGCAAAAAGTATTCCATTCCCTATGGGACAAAACACCAGGTATTTTCCTTCTTACAACTTTCCCCAGATCTGGCTTTGAGTCAGGTCCTTTACTTGAGATCACCGAGCCTGTAGTAATTGCACACAGAATATGAATTAAAACAGTGGTTCTCAACCTTTTTGGACTCGAGGCCCCCCTCATTTCTGACCTGCAGTCCTCTGGCCCTGCTGGTGCCCCTCACTCACAACACACAGCCCCCTGGCCTTGCCAGTGCCCCTCACTCCCAACCTGCAGCCGCCCACCCCATCTCCCATCCTGCAGCAGAAGGAGTTAAGGGCAGCACTGCCCTGCCAGTCCATTACTCATTGTACTGCTGGTGGTGCAGCTGGTGTGGGGGTCCCAGCAGCGACGGTGGCAACGAGGCTCACCGTCCCGCTCTGCCCTCCAGCACTGGTTCCTGCCCACTGGACCATAAAGGTGGCTTCTGCTTGTGGAGGTCCAGCCAGGCTGCAGCCCTGTGCCTACTATGGGTGCAGAAATCTAAGGGGGGGCATTCCCCCTCAAAGCCCCACGCGTCACCTATGCCCCCCCTGCCCCAGGCAGGAGTAGAGTGCAGTGCTGCAGCAGGTGCACATGAGAAAGTGCACTCAAAGAGTGGGCTGAGTTGCTGCACCAACAGCACTGTGCAGCTTGCCACCTGCTTCTGCAGCTCATGCAGTGCCATGCTCAGTCAGTAGAAGTCCAACATGAAAAGCACCTGGCCCGAGCCCTCCACCTGGAAGCTGGTGGCACCTAAGTGCTGCTTTCCTGCCTCCTCAGCCCTCAGGCATGATCCCCCTAAAACTGCTTGCAGTCCCTCAGGGGGCCATGGACCCCCTGGTTGAGAACTCATGAGTTAAAGGATTCCCACTAGGAGGAAACTCACAGCATCCTTGGAAAAACTCCAGGTTACCCCTCCCTCCCCCCCGCCATGGATTTTCCATTGCTTCTGCTCTCGGCAAAGCCATGCTTTAACAGTGTGAAGTCCTCAGTGGATGGACTCTATGTATTGCATACATTGCACATCATCAACGTTAAGTAATCGAACACTTCCCAGATTTTTGGCTGATGGAGCCACTAGTGCAGCCAAGTAACCATGTAATTTATTTTTTTGTAACTATAAAACAAATATCTTTACTCCCTTAAGCCCTCACAAAAATTGTCCCAATGGTGTAGTTCTGACAGGCCAATCATCTAAATATAGATTTAATTTCCTGCAGCCCATCACATTCCCTTATTCCAGGGGTGGGCAAAATGCAGCCCGCAGGGCCCCTAAAAAATTTAGAAAATTATTATTTACCTGCCCCTGGTTGCCTGCCATGCAGCCCTCGATGGCTTGCCAAACTCAGTAAGCAGCCCTCCTCCCGAAATAATTGCTCACCCCTGCCTTATTCCTTCAGCCACCCCTCACCCTCAGTCTCCAAGTCTTTGTCCCACTGCGCTGTCCTTTCTTGCTTTCCCCAAATTCAGTCTGCCTCCCTATTCTAATCCTCCCTTCCGTCCACATTCCTTGTCCCCATTTCCCCGCCATCCCTTCTCCACAGTAGGTAGACCGCTGCTGAACTGCTAGGGCCAGATCACGTGTTCACACTCTGAAAAGGACACTGTGGAGTGAGAGATGTGTCTTGACTTCAGGGGGACTAAAGTGCTTGCAGTTATGTTTATGTGGAGACACTTGGAAGAACTGGTGCTTGTCATACCATCTGTTTAATATTTTGTGCAAAAAGTCTTCAGAAACATTCACTATTTTTCTTGCAGTACATTCTGTCCGTGGACAGAGCAAATTTAAACAAAGAGCTGTTAACTGGTAAGTGTTCTAGCCCTTTTTTAATACTCCTAGTCCCTCTTCACTGTCATACTTTCAAAAATTTAGGGTTTGAGCCAAAAAAAATTAAGTTTTTACCATATTTTTTTTTGAAAGTGCAGTTTCTCCAAGAGTTCTGGGTCTACTGTGATACTAAAAATTGACTTAGAGTGTTTGTAAATATGGCCTAATATGTACCTCTGATAACACAAATAAGTATTAAAAATCAGTTAGAGCCTTTTTATCCAAGGACAGTAAAGCATTTGACAAACATTAACTCCATGGCATCCTGGTATGACAAATAAATGTTATGCACGCTTTATGGGTGAATAAACTGGGACAAAGAGGAGTAGGATCCAACTTTATAAATGTGGCTGCTGAATATTGGATGCCTAATATCATCTCAGATTAGGTGCCTGGAATTAGTAGATACTCTTGAAAATTGGGATTTAATTCTTTTTCTAAGCTTTTTTGCTAGATGGATGCTAACTTAAAAAAATACATTTTAGGATTTTATGAAAGAAACCAGCAGCAGCATTTAAAACAAAGGTCTATGGACTTGATATACAAATTTGTTTTAAGAATTATTTTTAAATACAACCTCAAAGGCCTGATATGGCCTCCTGTTGCATAGGGAAGCAAAAACTTTAGATGAGAAGTTTACTGAATAGTGATAATGGGAGATTAAAGAGTATAAGCAACCTTAAACCCCCATCTCCTCGGTGTTTGAACTGTACTGCGTCAAACTAAAATGCAGCACGGAATGCATTTAATACATTTAACTACATTTAATAGGAAAGAATTGTTGCTACCTCTTTCTAACCTGAGGGGCATTTAAAACTTGGGGTCCTGTGTGCTGATTAATTTAAGAGGAGGAATTGCTGATGGAGTCAGGCATTTCTTTGATGCAATCCTATTTACATACAAAGAAGGTACAAAGTCCTGTTTCCTTGAACACAGGAGGAATCAAACAATGGCAGATAGTGGTTTTGCTCACACCTCCAAAACTAAACCTACTGGCTTTCATCCAGTAGTTAACCCCAAAGCGCACGTCTTTAGGCTTTTCCCAGGATCATGCTAACCAATGTTTCTGTGACCATCTGGTGCTTGATTCCTATTCTGTCTCCTGCTCTGTTTCTCCTGCTTTTATTTCACACACAGCTCCATTAAAATAATGCTCAGAGGAACCTCCTCTCCTTACACAGTTCAGATCCCTGATCTGGTGGGAGATTCTATGGTCTCAGTTACCTGGATCAACAAAAGAGCTCAAGGATTTCTCACAACTATCTTAAATGGAAGAGAACGGATACAACTACCCTCCAAGTTTCAATTATTCGTGCATTATCAGAGTAAAAAATAAGAACTTGCATGTGTTAAAAGGTATCTCTCCATAATCCATCCAGCTGCATGCCAGGTTTGGCTGGTAGGTGCCTGCCTGTGTCTCCTACTAGCTGCATGCAGGCCCAGAATAGTATCCATGAAGTTGTTTTTGAAAATTATGATTATTTTGGTGAATACAAATACTTTGCCAGGATTGTTTGATGTGGTCTCACACAACATTCTCGAGGCAAGCTAAGAAAGTATGGGCTAGATCAATGTTTTTCAACCTGTGCTTTGCATACCCCTGTGGGTACACGAGACACAGGCAAGGGGTACATGGGTGCCATGTTTTGAGTTTGGCCCACCCTCTCGCCCAGTGGGTTGGAGGTATCTTTGCCTGTTTGGGCCAGAAGTTTCAGCCGCTGTCCCACCCACCACATCTGGGTCGCTGGGGCTTTCACTCCCCAGCATCAGTGTGCCAGGGGACAGGGAGGGAGGCCCCATGCAGGCTGCTTTGCCTCAGGCCGTGGTCCATGAGGAAGAAGTGGGATTTGGCTTGCAGCGGCGAAACCGGAAGTGCCATGGTGGGACTTCTGGTTTCACTTTTGCCACGTCAATCGGCAGGGGGTACGTAAGCTACCAAAGGTTGAGAACCACTGGGCTCGATGAATGGACTGTAAGGTGGATAGAAAATGGGCTGAAGCATCAGACTCAGAGGGTAATAATCAATAGCTCAATATCTAGTTGGCAGCTGGTATCAAGTGGAGTGCCCCAGGGATCACTCCTGGGGCTGGTTTTGTTCAATGTCTTCATCAACGACCTGGAAGATGGCATACAGTGCACCCTCAGCAAGTTTGCAGATGATGCCAAGCTGGGGGGAGTAGTAGATACACTGGAGGGTAGGGCTAGGATTCAGAGTGACCTAGACAAGTTGGAGGATTAGACCAAAAGAAATCTCATGAGGTTCAACAAGGACATGAGCAACGTCCTGCACTTAGGATGAAACAATCTCAGGCACCAGTAGAGGCTAGGGGCTAACTGGCTGGGCAACAGCTCTGCATAAAAGAACCTGGGGGTTACAGTGAACAATAAGCTGAATATGAGCCAGCAATGTGCCCTTGTTGCCAAGAAGGCTAACAGCATACTGGGCTGCATTGGTAGCTGTGTTGCCTGAAGATTCAAGGAAGTGATTATTCCCCTCTATTCAGCACTGGTGAGGCCACATCTGGAGCACTGTGTTCAGTTTTGAGACCTCCACTACAGAAAGGATGTGGACAAATTGGAGAGAGTCCAGCAGAGGGCAACAAAAATGTTGAGGGGCCTAGGGCACATGACTTATGAGGATAGACTGGGGCAACTGGGCTTATTTAGTCTAGAAAAGAGAAGGCTGAGTGGAGATTTAAAAGAAGATGGAGCTAGGCTCTTCTCAGTGGTGGCAGATGACAGAACAAAGAGCAACGATGTCAAGTTGCAGCATGGGTGACTGATGCCTCTTGAGTCATGGGGGACATGTGCCCTCCCTGACATCAGTCAGCGACCGTGGGGATCCCCCAGCAGCCAATCCCACTGACTGGGGGCAGGGAGGCCCATGGCCAATCTCACTCACCAAAAAAGTGGCTATGCCACTTCCGCAGTTACTTCCAGAAGTCCCACAGCCACTTCCAGAAGTGGTGCAGCTGCAGGGGGAGCACTGGTGCTCTGGCCTGCCCCTCTGCCTGCTGGCTAAACAGGGAGCGCGGCCTGACAGGGAGAGCACCGGTGCTCACAGGGGGTGCATGTGCACCCCCATGCACCCCCTACGTATCGCCACTGAGTTGCAGCAAGGAAGTTTAGGTTAGATATTAGGAAGAACTTTTTCACTAGGATGGTAATAAAACCCTGGAACAGGTTGCCCAGAGAGGCTGTGGAATCTCCATCTTTGGAGGTTTTTAAGATCCAGCTGGACAAAGCTTTGGCTGGGATGATCTAGCTGTGGATGGTCCTGCTTCGAGCAGGGGGGTGGGCTAGATGACCTCCTGAGGTCCCTTCCAACCCTAATTTTCTATGATACTATGATCTGTTGCACTTTTAAATATCTTCTCACAAGATTAAACCAAAACACAGCTGTCACACCTTGCACCACACTCCTATTAAAAGGGATCTAATTTGTTCTAAAAATGAAAGTCTCAGTATCCTAAAAGATCGAGCGGGGTTATTTGTGCAGGTGAATTTCACCTTTACCTTTAAACATCTTTTCTTTTTGCAGCTGCTGAGAAGTATCCCAATACTAAGCTGTACTTTGAACACAAGCTTTGCCAGTGCAATGCTGAATCAAGGACATTAACTATACAAAGGTAACCCACAGCATGACCTCCTAGTGCTGTCTTCCTTTAGTTTTTGCTTACTGATTAATCAAAACTCAAACAACTGGGGCAGGCCATTTCAAAACAGTTTTGTTGTTTTTGAACTGACAATTAGCATCAGTTTTAAAAAGAATCAGACATGTCAGCCCTTTCATGAAGAGTTTAAAGAAAGCCAAACGACTTCATCAACCAAAATTCAATCAGCAATAAACCAGACACGTTAGTTATTTCTGCAAGTAACAGATGTTTCTGCCAGGACTGTGCTTGATTTCAAGCTGTCTGGGGTAAACTGTTTTTCCAGAGGCCGATTTGAATTGCAGCCCAACATGATTTGAATAGAACCAGTCCACCTGATTTCTGATGCATTTCCTCTTACAAAATTTTAGTGGCCATTGTGCAAAAGCGTCTGTGAGATTATTCAACTACAGATGGTTCCAGCTGAGATTGGAGTCAGGTGTGTGTAAGCAGACAATGAGCAGGGGTATGTGAAGGAGGAAAATGGGCTGAGCATTCATTACAATTGCAGGCCTTTGCACTAGAAACCCTAACAAGTCTCTGGTGTTTCCTGTCCTGTCTGAAAATAATGAGGGCTTGTATACAGCTGTTTACCTCCAGAGGGACTCCTTGCTCAGCACTAGTTGCAAGAAAGGCTGATTTGACTTCTAAAAGTGTTGATGAATCCCAGACAAACAGGCCAGACTCCCAAGCCAGTGACGGAGCATGACTGTGTTAGACCAGCATAGTCCTGTAACAGTGAACACTGTTACACGTAGGGCAGAGTCACCTGCTGGTGTCAGCAACCTCTGTTTCCACTCCATAACTGAGATATTTGATGCAAATCTCTCATTATTTTACACGCACCAATTTTCGCAACCTCCAGTACAATTCTACATCCCAGCCCTGATCTTATCCACTAGCATTGAGCAGGCAGCCAGCTCACACTATAAAAGATTAAATGGTGCAGAAAGTCCAGTCAAAGAATAGGCATAGGACCTCAGCAGCAAAGTGCAGGGCCCCTGGGGCTTTCTTGCTAAAAGTCCAAAAGAAACAGCATTATTCCACCGGATTTCTCTGTTTTTTTAGATGTGATGAAACAACTCTGGAAATCACTTGTGGCCTCATAGTGGGATGTGATGGAGCCTTTTCGACAGTCAGGAAGCAGTTCATGAGGCAAACGTGTTTTAACTACAGCCATGAATATATTCCTCATGGCTACATGGAGCTAACTATCCCCCCCAGGGATGGAGATGTAAGTAAGCTCTGCCCTGTGCTCTGCTATGATGTTAGTGTTCCCTAGCCCCAGTACATAAAATCCCTGCTGCAGCAGCCCTTGGGGAAATCCTTGCTAAGAAAGTTGGCTCTCAAGGATGAAAGAGGCTGTTCCTTCTTCTCAGAGCCTTTGTTTCAGGCTCCTTGCAAATTCAGGCAGACATGACTGCCATTTTTCTTGTTTTCAAGGCAATCTATATGAACACAAGGGCTAGACTGGTATTTTTATATCAATTATAGCCTGCATGTCTGTAGCAGACTCAGCTCTCTAGAAAATATTGGGGCTTTGTGTACACAGAGCTGAAGCAGCAGACAGGCCTTTTCTGTTGAAGATGTATGTCCTTTACTTTTGCACAAAGTAATTACTTGGGTTGAAAGTTATGAGCAATGTGGGCTCAAGAAGCAGATTGTAATTTTGTCCCCATTATCCTCTGAATATTGACTGCAGTGAAATTTCAATAGATGCCTTCAGTGAAAGTACTCTAATCTTCCCATGGGTTAAATCTCTTGAAGGAGCAAACTTTTAACTCCTGGTTGTAGGCAATGGTGATGCATCAGTTTACCTTTGTTTTACCACTGACTGTAAAATAATGCAATTCCTCATTTGCAAAGGGCTAACAATGCACGTAGCGGACACCTCCATTCTGCTCCATGCCTGAAAATTTCTGGAGCATGTGTTATAGCATTTATGGGACCACAACTGACCACAGACTATCAGCTTTCCTCCTTGCACCTTCTCTCCCTCCACTGCTTGGGATTAGATGTACCTTACCCTGAACTGTCAGCTTCTTATATGGGAGGGATCTTGCAACCATCTTGTATGCTGAAGGAAAAAGGAAGGAATCGCTGCACTAGCTAAGAAGGCAGGAGGTGGTGATTCCAAGGGCTGGTCTAAGGGGGCTGCATGGCTTTTGTACTGGTAGAGAAAGGAGGTAACAGCAGGAGTAAGTGGTTTGGGAATGAAGAAGAAGCCCCTCCTTGCTGAAACTTTACCGTATTCTTCTGCTTGTCCTTCTGCAGTGATTCTTTGGTAATGAGCTTCCTAATGGGGTGCTGAAAAATCTTCCATTCTCTTTCAGTTTGCCATGGAACCAAATTACCTTCACATCTGGCCCAGAAACACCTTCATGATGATTGCCCTGCCCAACCTGGTAATGACCTAGAACTGCCATTCATTTCAGACTACAGGGATGACTTTTGTTGGTTTAAGGCACTGTATGTACTGGAACTCTTGGTGGGGTTTGTTTTGAAGAGATATACAGTCTCCTGGCACTCAACTGGGAAGGGCTTTGCCTCATCTGTGAAGTGGCTAGTGTACCCTTAATCCAGGGAAGTAAAGGCTTGGAACTGCCAGAGCTGGGGCTAAGATACAGGGTGGAGGGTTCCTCATGTCCTCTCCTTATTGAATACCACTTCATGGGAAAAGGAAGATGTGATCTTATCCTCTGTGCCATAGACTGTGAAAGTACAAACCCTGTTTGAAAAGGCTGCAGTCTTGATTTCCACAATGAAGCCTGGAGTGAGGTCATAGAGCACAGTCCAGTGGTAGCAAGTGACCAGAGGGTGGGGGGGATGGAATAGCAGTGGTAGGTGATAGAAATAAGCCAGGGGCAGGTTTGAATACGCAATCCAGCGCCAGATTGTCTGATAAGTCTCACCTGGCATTCTCTATCTCCCCCAGAAACCCTACAAGTCAAAGGTGTCAATGTTAAATGCACCTGCTAGGAAAGCTCACCCTAGCTCAAGGGTGGGCAATTAGTTTGGGTGAAGGGCTGTTCACTGAGTTTTGGCAAACTGTTGAGGGCCGCACGGGTGGCCCTGCCCCTTGATAGGTGCCTTGCCCCTAGTTGCTGTTTTGGGACCGGAAGTCCCACTCCCTAATCCCTGACCTTTGCCACCAGAAGTCTCTCCCCTTGTCCCTGGAAATACTCCTTTCAGAAAGGGGTTTTGCCATCTCAGAACCAAAAAAACCCCAAATAATATTCTAAAAAAAATCAAACCTCCACAATATTCATTCATTTGATTTTAAAAAATATGTTTGTCCTTCTTTACATGTGTTTGTGTAGCTTACATAGAGGTGATCATACAATAGGTTAAAATTAAGTCTTATTCTTGTATA